GGCCCGAGCGTGACCCGAAGCGCCAGCTCTGCAGGCCTCCCTGCCCCTAAAACTGGAAGTACTTCCGACGGTTTCAGTAACACAAATAGGTGACACTGTGCACGAAGTCGTATCATTTATCTAAACACGTTTTGGGGGGCAGCATCGGGTTGGTTTGGGCGTTGTGCTGGTGGCTAAGGTCCGGCTGGAGGGAGGACGCCCAGTTGTGCTCAGCTCTGGAAAGGCCGGGCATGGCTCTGGCTTCCCGGGGGTCTTGGATCTCACAAGTGTGATGGCAACAAGTAAATGGGCCTCCTGGAAGGGCTGGTGCTCAGGAGCTCTCCTGAGGTGTAGCGGGAGTTCTTCACTCCCCCCGACAGCAGATGTGCTAAGGTAAAATGAGATACGAACGTTTTAGACAGCTCTGGTGCCTTTGGCAACCAGCCTCTTTATTTTGCCTTTTTATCAGATCAGCAGCTGCATGGGAATCTACTTTGGTCCACGCTTCTGAACACAAGTATTTCCCCAGAAGCAAAAGTGTCCGGAGTGAACAAACTGTGTTTCTGGCTGGTTCTGCTCAGCAGGTGCCACTCCTGGGGATGCTGGGGGCTGCCGGTGTACGGCAGTGTGGGATGGCTCTCGGGTAGAGCGTGGTGGTGGTGCTGAACGTAACTTGCGTTGTGCATCTACTTCTGCGTGGTTTATCTGTTAACCTGAAGGAAGCTAGCTAGCTTGGTTTTAAATCAGAAATCTTTTGTGCCCGACTTTCCTTTTTAAAGAGTGAGTATGGTATTTGGCAATTCGGCACAACTGGTTAATTGGTTTAGTGTGTGTCCATTTCATACCTAACATATATATACACCCAGAGAGGGGGAGAGTGTGTATGTGCTTGTATATGTCTATATACATATGTTTATCTGTATACATACATGTTTAAATCTATTTGTGTTGAGCAATCCTGTCAGTCCCAACAGGGTTACATGGTTGCAGATGCGTTCCTGGCATCATGACTTATGTGATCTGATCCTATAATAAGGAACTCGGAGGTAACCTCCCCATTTTTGTGTGTGTCCCTACTGTTCTTGGAGGGCTCTGTTATGGAGGGCTTTTGGAGGGCTTGAGTACAGTGCGATGTCTGGACAGAGTCATCTCAGAGTGAAATGTAGAAGGTGCTTTGGTTGAGCTTGGTTTCAAGCCCTGTCTTTATCTGGCGCTGCAGTGGGGTTTTGAGGTGCAAGTGGAAATCAGGAGTTCATGCTCTATTCTATCATCTCTTGAAACATGGAGTGATCCTGTAAGTTTCCTCACTGAAGTCACTGGGTACCAGCTCAGATTTTCAAGAGTATTGTTGGCATGTTAATGTGGCCAACTTTTTTAAAAAACATATCTTTTTTGTGTATTGTGAAATAGAGATATTAAACTTGTATTATAAATCAAATTTTATTATTCTCTTTCTGAACTCTAACAGATACTGAGCATCTCCCAAGATCTGTGCTTTCCAAGTAGACTGTTTTCAAGAACTGCATTGGTACTGTATAGCAACAAATCAAGTTCTTAATTTCAAAGTAAAATGCTTTCCTGTAGAAAGGTCTTCATTTTTGCAGCTTTACATTATAGAATTCTCATCTAAATAATCTAATCTTTCACTGTCTCAGACTTTAAACTACAAATAGATTCATCAGCCAGAGTCTGGATTTCTGTGCTAAAAAGTAGGATAAAGCATCTGAGAGTAAGAGAGTCCTTCAGTTGAAAGAGTTTCTCTTATTTATATCATTCACTACTTAGCTCTAACCAGGAGTTACACTATTAGTTTTTTTTGTTTATGTATCATAAACCAGCAAAACCTGTCCTCTTTTCAAAGCCTGTCACATTGTTCTTTTCAGATACAGGTCTTTTGTATGTTAAGGATATAATCAAGATATATCAGTCTTAAACTGTGTTGTTTTGGTAACCGTGTATGAGTAGATACTTGGTGAGATTTAAGATCTTTCCTTATAACCTTCATGACTTACTACCAGCGTGGTGTTTGTGTGCTTTGTATCTGTTACAAAATTTCTTATTTCAAAACTGTTGTTCAGAGCTGTGTTCAAACAAGCTTTCTGAGGAGTTGTCATAATCTACACACAAACATTTTTCTACGTAACTTCGTTTTGGGGGTGGAATAAATGGTACTTGATCCTATCACATGAAAATATTTTATTGTCCTTCTGCTTTCCCTTTGGCTCTTTACCTTTTTATAACTGTTACACATTTTTTACTCTTTTTACTTTTTATATTCTTGATAGATTCAGTTCTTTGTGCTTTTGGAGTTTAAATCTGACCAAGTGTTTCAAGAAGATAAAAGATAGATTTCAGTTGTCTGCAGTGCATGTGGACAAGCATATTTAGACCTGCTCTTACTGGAGCAATATTTGTAAAGAGCTGTGACAAACGCTCCAGGGACCACTCTGCAGCAGAATTCAATCTTGTTGGCTAGCAACAAATAGGCTCCATTGAAGGCTGTTTATTTGAATGGGAGTTGGATTGGGCCCTTTGGGAGAATGCTGTGTTTTCAAAATAGCTTCAGATGCAGTGGATTTCAGCGATGAATATAAATGAGGAACAATTAAATCAGAATCATAAAAAAAAATATGCTTAAGGTTACTCTCCAGTTTTCTAATACAGTGAGCAGATTGGCTGGTGCATATGCAACCCTATTCTACCCTTCAAAATGGTCCTCAGTCCTGCTCAGTCCTGCCGTAACATTTCCAAATTTCATGCATGATGAAAATGTTGAAAAAAAGGGGGTTGGAGAAGATGGAATTAAACAATATTCCTGTTATAAAGTTTGCTGAATGCTATGTATGTTTAAAATAGAGAACTGTACAAGGTTGCTCACTGCAGATGCCTTCAATTCCTAGACTTGAATTACCTATAAAGCCTCATTAATGCCGAACAGAGAAAGTTCTGTCTTTGTTAAGAAGCTATCAGCTGTGAGTTTAATGATCTTCCATGCAACAGAAAACCTTACTGAAAATAACTTTAAATTCATGACTTCAGAAGCTATTTCAATGCCAAATTCGTACTTTTTTCTTAGCTTTGTGTTAACTTCTTAAAAGTTTCTTGATGGTTCGGACTGTTTCCCTATTTGGCTTTTCCTGGTTGACAGTTCTGCTATAATTTTTAAAGGTTTATATTTAGAGGCAGGAAATACATGAGCCTACAGACTTTCACAAACAGTTTTTTCTATAGGTACTTAAACCAAATGACTGGAAAGCCCTCTTCAAACTAGACAAAACTGAAATGCCAAAGTGGAGCAGATGTTTGGCCCACTCCTCCCTGGCAGTTCCATTAAGCACATGGTTATCAAATCCTTTTTTGAGAAGAAAGAAGGAAATGAAAACATAAATATAACCTTAGACTGTGATTTTTTTTTTTAAATTATTTTTTAGTTAGTTTTATACTGGTGGAACTCCTGCCTTGGGAGCAATCTGGCTCTGGCACAGATATTCACAGCTTTGTCTTGAAGTAGAAAAGATGCACTTTGCTGCATTTATTTACCTTTCTTTGTACATCATGTAGGTATAATCAGGGGATAGCGCTAATTAGGTAAGAAGAGACAGCCTTCATGAATATGACATTAAGTTGAGATTAGCTGGGACACCTGCTGTCTTAAACCTGGCTGTGGATAAGTAAAGCCTTCCTCCTGGCCCTCCATCTGAACTCTCAACCAGTTTACCCAAAGAGACTTCTTACCTTCCTTGGGTATATTTAGGATTCATTAAAGTTTTTGCTGTAAAAGCAAGTGTTTTTTCATTGATCTGCCTCCTGAGGCGCTAGATAAAGTGTCAATAGACAAACTCTGTGTTTTCTTTACAGGTATCTGAGTGATTGTTTCTTCCTGTTTTTCTCTGGAATGTTGTCAGTGCATGTGGCATTTTAATTAAAAAAAAAAAACCCAACCCTTTCATTTGGGCTTTCTGTTTAAGGATGGCCAAGAAGGATACTGTGAAGTGTGTGTGAAGATACTGAGATTCTTTTGGCAATACCAAAAAGTGAGATGAGGTTAGAAACACCTGAGATTTGGTTCTTAGAAGTAGATAATTTCTCAACTATATTTTTCATTTTCTTGTTTGGAAGGTTCATTTTCAGCAAAAATTGGAAATGTATTCATTTAGTGCTTAGAACTATGATTCCCTCCCTCCCTGTTTTGGAGACTCACAGGTACAGTTCCAGGATGACTTAACCCGAGTGATGTTTTTTCTGTTGCTGTTGACCACATCTGTAGCAAGTAGTTCAGCTCATTATTGCCTTGGCCAGTCCAATCTTTCCGTGCATGTTTGAGACTATATTCTGCAGCTTTGAGCATATACCCTAAGGATTTTCTCCAGAAAATTTCCTTTAATACTCTCTGCTGAGAAAGCCAATTTCTAGACATCTGTGAATCAGTTAGCTGTATACTCATCTCTTCCCCACTCCGTAGCATTTTAATAAAACACTGCACATAGAAATCGTGTTATCTGTGCAACTGATTATGACGATAACTTTGGAACTGGTAATTAAACATTGATCCATAATGACTAGCTGCCTATTGATCTTATTTTAACTAGATAACACAGCAGGAGTAGGCATGAAACTAGGAGAAGTTAAGATTGACTACTACGAAAAATTCCTTAATACTGGAGGTATGCTGTGCTGTTGAATAGATGCTGTTGAAATCTCTGTTGCATGAATCATACTGAAAACAGATTCTAAGCTGTAAACTGAAGCCTTCATTTAATATGTTAATAGAAATAAGAAAATAAGAACCTAAGATTATTTTTTTTTGTGATAGGTTTTTTTTGTTTGTGATGTTATGCTGATGGTGATGTTCTTTTACCATTAATGGTTAAATGTTGGCTGTGAAGGCATTGAAAAATAGCAAGTCTTTACACTTATTTGTTGGAACACTTTTTTAAATCTTCAGTTAAAATTTTATGCTGATAGCACAAAACATATTCAGTAAATAAAAGTTCTTGAGTTTCAGGTTTTTGTTTGTTTGTTTAAAAGGTGCTGGTTTGTTGAGCAGATTTACTCATGAGCTTTGTTCTTCCTGGTGTCTTTCTGCTTGCACATAGGTTTCCTAAACTACACGACTCTATCCCAAAATTGAATTTTATTTTGTTTTATTTCTGTGATGATCTGGTAGTGCATAAACTTAGAATCCAAAATCATAAAGCTCTAGTCTCTATCCCCATTGGGCATCAATGTGGGTTGGGCTATTTAACTCGAAAGACTGTTTCATTTAAGAAAAGCATTTTTGAAATATTTTGTGAGCGATACATTATTATTCATTTGGATGTATTTACCTTGCATATTGGTAGTGCTTGGTGACAGATCAATTTCAGTCCACCCTGTTTGTCTTTAATTTGTGC